TTATCCACCTGTAGTAAGAAGGATCACCAACCAGCATTTGTAGGATGGAATACCAGGTGGCATCAGAAATCAATGAACTACAACTTGTTAGGATGAATCTTAAATACATAGTATTGGAGGAAAAAAAGCCACACAAGAACAACGTTGGAAAAGACATGTTGTATGATTCTGTTCCAGGTTTGAGATGTGTTCCATCATTACATCGTATATTTTTAAGAGAGATTATCCGAGAAGGGAGCCCAAGAGGAACTCCTGCCCAGAGCTGCATGTGATTAGAACAAGCAAGTCCACCTCTGCTCTGCAGAAAGAAAAGGTGAGGACAACCTTATGTCTGGAGTGGGAGAGAGGCTGAGAATCCAAGTCACTAAACCTGTTTTGATGTCCAAATTCACACCAACGGAACCCAACAAATTTCAAAAAGAAACTTAAAAATTTTTTTCACTATTAGGGATTGAACCTAGGACACTGAGCTCTATCCACAGCCTTATTTTTCTTTTTTATTTTGAGACAACCATGCTAAGTCATTAAATTACCCAAATTAGCTTGAACTTGCAATCTCCCAGAGACTTAGGGCCACAGGCATGTGCCACTGTGTCCAGCTCAAGCAAGACTTAAAGTAGTCCCAAGGTCACAGGGTTCAAGTGACCGGCAGATGCAGATAGAAATCTAGTTACAAGGCGCTGTCTCTGTGAAATTGGCTCTGATTTCATAAATGTTAGCATGTGAAAAATAATCCTAGAATTGAGAAATCAGATATAAATTCCAATGTAAGCAAAATGGAACTATAAACTGGTGAATAGTTGGAGACAATGTCTGCCTGCCGTTTGGGTCTCTGCCTCCCAAGACTCTCTTGAAAAACAACACAGAACAAGAAGGGAAATTAATTACCTGGAACCTGACCTCAGTGTAGATACAGAGAAAGTCCAGACTTTAAAATTATTAAAAATAAAAATGCTAGCCTCTAGGTGCGGGCTCTTATCTCCCCCAGTGCAAGGCAGACTGAAACAAAGTGTGGGAAAAGAGAAGACAGAACAAGCAGCAGTGCTCAAAGGCGCACTAAGCTGCCTTCGGGAAGACCGATCCACTTCGAGTCTTAAATACTTAAAAAAAAAAAAAAAAGTCCTGGAAGGTCAGAGCACCAGCTGTAGAAAAGGGCAGTTTTGAAAATGCATAGGTTTTGGGGAAAAAACATTAAATAGGAAAGAAAGAATCTTTTGGAAATCAGGTGGTTGTTGAAAGGGAAAGAAAAAAAGGGAGATATTAGGGCCTGGCAGAGAAAAGAGAGCCAAAAGAATTGGAAGATGTGTAACGCTTGCTGACCTGCAACACGAAGTCTGTTAGATTATTTGGTCTTTGCTGTAGTAACAGAGAAGGTGCCATTGAACTCGAAATCCCGTGTAATACCCCAACCATACAAACATAAATGGGAACAAAATCAACTGATTCGGAGAGTTATTGCAAAAAATCAGAAAATAAGAATTGCAAGCCATACAATGCAGGAACTTCATTTGAAGAAGAATCATAGTTAAGAAGACACTGCTAAAAGAACACTTCTTCCAAATGTAGTTAAATATACTCAAATAAGCATTTAAAGACATGAGACCCACCCTGGTCATAACTTCAAACAAAAAAAGGACAAAAAATCTGCTCAATACGAACTGAGAAGAAAGTTGACTGAATTCAAAAAAGAAATAGAAAAAAAGTATCTCAAAATTGAAAAAAATAGGTGTGTAAGAGGTAATACTGCCATGAAAATTTAATAAGGGCCAGTTAGGACATAAGCATGATGGTGAATTTAGGAAAGAAAAATGTTAGAGAGAGAGTCAGGACGGGTAGACGGATGAGGAAGAGGTGACATCTGTATTGTTGGAATCCCCAAGGAAGAACAGAGCTATATTTAAAATGATAAATAGGAGAACTTTCCAGAAATAGTGATAAAAGGCCTCAATCACATAATCAAAGAATATATAAGATACCTGGAAGTATTTGCCCAGAATGATAAACTCTGAGACATTTTCTAGTGAAATGTTTAGATTTCAAAGTTAAAGAAAATAATCCTGAATTTCACCACACAAAACGACCGACTAACTTACAAAAACATAGAATTACATCACCTTAATGAGAAAAATCAGCAATGTTAGGTAACAACGGAACAGCACTATAAAAACACTTCAGAATGGCAGATGTGAGCCAAGGCCGTTATAGCCGTGTGGACAACGTCACACAGAAGCACTTGAGGTGTGGAGGACGGGCTTTACCAAGCAGAGGGGTGGTCGGGCAGCCTAGCATGAGGGTGGGTGTGATTTTGTGACAGTTGAACTTGACTTGTCCACTTGATTTACTCTGAGCACCAGTGAGGCAGCTATTGGGTCTGCGTGGGTCATGGAGATGTGACCTCAGAGATACACAGGCTCCTTAGCTTTTCCCTCTCTGGTGTTCGTCTCCTGCTCGGCCTCCCAATCACCATGAAAAGCACCTTTATTCTGTCACATCTTTCTGCCAGGATGCTCCTGGCTTAGAGCCACTTAGTCCTATATCCTCTGAGACTGGGAGTCAAATCAAACCTTTTCTCTTGCTAGTTGTGGGTGTTGGCATGGTATCCCATGGATGAGAAGGCTCAGAAGTCAGGTGTCTGTACACGAGGGAGCTGACCGTGAAGAGGGCCAGGTGGTATGAATGCAAATGCTGTACATTTTGATAAAGAACAACTGAGGACTGGGAGAAGGGAGGCACGGAGATGAACACAGATGATCTCACTGGCTGTGGTGTAGAAATGCATGGGAGTTAAAGGGTATCAAATAAAAGTAAATCAGATTTTAAAAGCCTAAATAGTAAAATACAGGACTAGGTGGGTTAGGAGGCCTGATGGAATTGCTCAATGGTAGAGCACATTCTTAAAATGTACAAGGCTCTGGGTTCAATCCCCAGCACCAAAAAATAAACTGAAATTAAAATAAAATAATGTGAGAAACACAATAAACAACTGGAACAAAATTATAATCCTCCATAAACTAAAATAAGAACACAGCCTGGGGTGGTGGTGCGTGCTTATAATCCCAGCTACTCGGGAGGCTGAGGCAGAAGGGTTTGTCAGTTTGAAGACAGCCTGGGAAACTAAGCAGGGCTGTCTCAAAATAAAATGTAGAGTTTGAGGATGTATCTCAGTGGCAGAGCATTAACATGTGGGAAGCCTTGTGTTACATTTCCAACATTAAAAAACAAGCAAAAAAAAAAAAAAAAAACTAAAACCAAAACAGAAACTTCACTAAGAATATGCCTCTCATTGAGGAAAATAGCAAATGTAACAATGCACAGTCACAAAACGTTAGGACAGGCAAAGCAAATCAACCACAGCAATAAATGTTGACAGGCTTAACTTTTGTATTAAAAAAGTTTCAATTTCAGTCACAATTGGAAATCAAACTACATGGTGTGTATAAGATGCAGACCTAAAACATAGAGATTCTGAAAAGTTTACATAAAAGAATGAATAAATGCATCCTGAGCAGATGGAAACGCAGGGCAGTGATTCAGACAACAAATACAGCTCAAGTCCCCAAAGTATCAAACACAATAAAGCAGAGCACCTTTTAATGCTAAAAGTCACAATCCATAGATAACATATAACATTCCTCAACACGCCTGAACCAAGTCACTGGGCAACCACATTTATGAAGTCAGTAAGTAGAGAAGCCAGACAAATACAAAGAAACACACTAATGCTGCTTTAGTAAACATCGAAATATTACCAGTACAAGACAGATTGAGTGACCGAAAACTAAGTAAGGAAGTAGAAAACCTAAATCACATACAGTCATCAGTAAAATAAGCCTTATGCCCATATGTCATACTCCATACTCTGGTGATAGGAAATATGCCTTTTTTCAAGTACATTTCACTAAAAAGCTTAGAAGTTCAGTAAACTCCATACTGTAGAAATATTATGAACAATATGGCCACAATGCAATAAAATCAGAATTTACTGGAAAAACAAAGATGCTTCCACACTGAATTTAGAAACCTCCTTGGAAAGAACTGGGCACGGGAAGCCTGTGAGGACCTGCCTGGTGCGGGGTGGGGGGTAGGGTGGGGGGATGGGGGTGGGGCGGGCGTGGTGGTCCTGAGTTCCCAGGGACTTGGGCAGCATAGTGAGCCTCTGAGGTTAAGGACCTGGCTATGTGTAGGAGTCACTGTAATGTAGGGTGCAGGACCCATCCTGGGAGGCAGGGAGGCAGGTGAGGCCAGGTGAAAGTGGATGTGCAGGTGATGGCCTATAGGTCCTGGGGGCAGAGGACTCAGGGTACCAGGGAGAGGCTGTAAGGTGGGGGTGTCTTGAAGGGGATGTTGAACCTGATGATGATGCAGCAGAGGGTAGGCTCATGGGAGTGGGCAGCTGAAGGAGGATGGAAGACAAGCTCCCTGGAACAGAGATCTAAGCAGGAGAAGACAGGATAAAGGAAGGAATGAAATTCCCAGTATCAAGGCAGGGAGAGTAAATCAAGGCAAGAGGGCTTCCCTGACAAGGAGCTACATCCTCAGAGAGTGAGGCGGCGGCCCAGGGTAGGTGTGTGGTGGGTGGGTGGCAGGTGGCATAGACTGAGTGTAGGAGATTCAGAGCTGGATTTTAGGGAGGAGTAAGGACCCTGTCTCACCTCTAGCCCAGGGATCTGTGGGGCGCGGTAGAAAAACTAGCATCACTAAGAGGACTGGGAGGCTGCTGGATGAGAAGAGCGAGAAGGATCAGAGAATGTTTGGAGGGGAAGGGGGAAGGCGGTGGCTCTGCTGTTAGACGGGAAGGCTTTGGGGTTAGCCGAGGTCTTAGCAGAGCACTTAAGGTTCCGAGGGACCCCCTGTTTATTGGGCTGGGCGAGGTGTGTCATGTGGGGTATGTCAGCCTCCCCAGTGCCCGCCGTGAGATATGCAGTTCCCACAGGAAGGCCCAGTTCTGCTCCTGCTCAGGTAGGGGGTGCAGGGACAGTGAGAGAAGTTGGGGTTGGCACCTGTCCAAGGGCATAGAGAAGTCTAGGAAGGCAGCCACCAGCTCAGAGGTGTGGTCCCGTGCCAGCATGGTGACGGCTTGGAGGACATTGGCCTTGGCCTCGGGGATGTGGATAGAGCAGAGGTGGCAGTGGATGGCCCGGCCCATGTTGGCAACCTGTTCAGGAAAGGGGCAGTCAGATGTGCAGGTGGACCTGCTCTGCTGTGGGGGATACTGAGCGGGGAGGCATAGCCCTGCCTTGCCCTGAATCCCTGGCGGGATCCCACTATCCTTGGAGGTATCTGGGAACTTCATACTCTGCTCCAATGGCCCTGAAGTCTCAGGACAATTCAGAGCCCCACTCCTGCTCATCTTTTCCTAAGCCCACTCCTCTGGCACCTGCTGCCTGAGTGTCTGGGACTCCTTTCACCTGCTACTGGGTCTGTTTGGGTCTCTGCTGTGCCTCCACTAAGGCCTGGCTCCAGCACTGCCGCCTGAAGCCGCCTATCTGCAGACGCCGTCTCCATCTTCTTCTTGTCAGGGGGCCTCCCACCCACCTCCTCTGCCTTGGTCTACTGAGCCATCTTGTCCACTTCTGTCTACCAGCTGCTTGAAGATCTGGTCTGTGCTTCCCCTGAACTGGCTTCTACACTAGGGCACATACTGGGGTTCAATCTGTGCATGTCTACCCTCACCTGCAGTTCCCACTAGACCCCTGGAAGGATCTGTGGGCCATTCATTCATTCATTCATTCAACCAATCAACTGGTTGGATGGGGATCTGAAATGAATCTGCCCCATCTGCCCCAAGAGCCAGGGTTCAGTCTCAGTGCAGAGAATGCCCTGACTGCGGTCAGCCCTCTGCCCCACCTTCCCACACTGTCCGGACATCCCAGACCTTTGTGGTCTCCAGCTTGGCCTCACACTCCTGAATGACATCGAGGAACAGCTGAGCAGCTGCCTGCACGCGGAAGGCACTGGTGGAGCCCAGGCCTTCAATGACTGTCCAGATGAGGTCCGTCAGCTCCTCCATTGTGAGGTAACTCATGATCTCCTGTGGGAGCAGAGAAACTGTCACCTTGTCATTTTGGACCCATGTTTGGACCCCGTTTCTTCGACTTCCACTTTTACTCAGGCTCCCCAGGTCTCTGGCCATCCATTTTCCAGGACTCCCAGATGGATCCAGCATTTGCAGCTTATGGCCACCATAGACTAGGGCAGGTACGGAGGGCATAACGCCCATTCAGGGTGGGCACAGAGCTCCTCTCCTCTGCCAGCCTTGTGCTTGTTCTGGGGACCTTGTAGCTGCCCCAGCTACTTGAGCTATGCCCATCTTTGCCTTCTCAGGCGCCACCATTTTCTAGTCTTTGCCTACAGGGATGCTCTATTCTCCCTATAGCCAGGCCCTGCTCCTTCTCACAGTGTATCTCATAGATACACTGAACCTCAGGGCTGTGAAGATCATTGAGGTTATCTGCACAAAACCCTTGGCCCCATGAGGTCCATGGCAACCTTCAGCCATAAAGCAGGGTAGTTTGCAGAGGTGGGGCCAGGCTGGTGTGAAACCTAGAACCTCCTGTGTGGGGCCTCCGTATGACCCCCACTGTGTCACTATTGACACTCTCCTAGGGCCACTCTAAAGGCCCAGGGAGGTGGCTCTGTCCTTTGCAGGCTGATCACAAGCTGCTTATGAGACAAAAGGGCTCCTGGAGAAATGCAAGGTGGTGAATCTGATCCTTGCTCTCCAAGGTAGGGTGGTTAAGTCCTGGCACAGATTTGGAGCCCTGTTGCCCTCAGCCACCCATAGTTATTTAAATATATATTACTTTAATGAAATTAAAACTTCAGTTCCTCAGCAGCACAGATTGCATCTCAAGTGCTTAGCAGCCAGCTGGTCAGCGGCTGTTTTGAATGCACAGACATAGAACATATTCACCTCCCAGAAGGTTCAAGGTGATGAGACTCTCAGAATCTCAGAGTATACAATCACAGGTCAGGAAAAGTCATTTGAGATATCGTGCTTTATCAAGGGCATGGATAAATGTGGGATGGAGGAGGCAGTGAGGGCAGAGCTGGGGTGGTGATGAGGATGGGGTGAGGCATAGTAACGGTGCCATGGTGATATCAGTGGTGACGGAGGTGGTGGAGGAGATGGAGGTGGTGATGGTGATGATGGTAACAGTACTGGTGATGGTGGTGGTGGTAGAGATGGGGATGACACTGCTGAGTGTGATGATGGGAGTGTTGATGATATTGCTAGTAGGTGATGTTGCATGTTGATAATGATAGAGACGATGATGGTGATGGTGATGAAGATATTCAAGAACACCTGAGGAATCAGGGACAAACTTATAATCAGAACCCAGGCAGAGTGTCTTTCTTCAACTGAACCTTCCCAGATGTGCCATCCTGTGAATATCAGAGCCTCTCATCCTTGCCCCTCTCCCTGTTCTATTCATCACTACCCCTTGTCAAAGAGAGCCAGAGCCTGGTGCCTACACTCTGTGTGCAGGGGCCACACAGAGTGGAGTGGGCTGCCCCTTCCAGGTCCCAGTGCTATGCTCCTAGTGGCTCAGGTACCTTCATGCCAGTCCTTACAAAGCTGATCGCTAGTGGGACCCTCCTTTTGCCCCCAGCCCAAGTTATCTGCTGTAAGCTGGATTTCATCTTTCTGGACATGGACCACAGATACATTGGCCCTAGGGTTTTATATTTCTGTGCTAAACTTCTGATAGGTCTCAGCTCACAGACAGCTAATTACAGCTGTGAAAGCACAGGTTTTGGAGTCCGCTGGGACTGTATCAAATCCTGCTGGAGCACTTATTCCTTGCTGTATGCACACTTCATCATATGGTTCAGTCTGGTTGGCCTTCATGGCTGTGTGCTAAAGGCCACCTCCACCCTTAGGGCTTGCACTGAGCCTTAGGGAGACCCCATTTGTGGTGTGAAGGGCTCAGGTGTAATAGGAACTGACAAGCATAGTGGTTACAGGGTCATTGCTAGCTAGGAGCAATGACCACCTCACAGACTTCATGAACTGACAACTCTGAGGCTCCATGAACCTAGCAGTCAATGACAGCACCCACTTCCCACATGCATCTCAGCTTGTCTCTTTTGAGAATAGTGAAATTCAAATCATGGTACAGGAAATTTTGAGCAGTGCAGGGCAGGTTTGTCAAATCTGAGAAAAGGGCATATTAATGCCTATGATGCCCCTGGCATACGATAGGCATCTAATGTGTGCTGGCTTTCTCCAAACCCCCAGCTTCACTTCAACGGTATAGGCAAGAGCAAGTGAGTTTGTGAGTTTATTCTCCATGTGAGTTTATTCTTCAGCCATGCCCCCACCTGCACCTGCCACAACTGTAAGAGCTTTGACCTTGATGGCTTTGGAGCTGTCCAGCTGGCTTATGCTGTCCTCTGGGGTCACCACCTTCTGAGACAATAAAGATGTGGTCCTTTGGTCTCCAGTGCTGCATAGGGAGGCTTCATCTGCATCTGGCTGGAAGAGCTCTTCGGGGTTCTGTAATTCTTCTTGTAACGCTGCTTCTGGTGGCCAGAGGGAGAGCAGGGGTGAAGCAGGGCAAGGGTGGACCACGATCTATATCTGGGAGTTAGGGTGAGGTCATTTGTAATCAGGGTCAGGCCTGTGCCCTAGTTTGGGGGTAGGAGTCAGTGTGGGTTTGGGGGTTGAGTGAGGCCATTGCAGGGTTATGGTTGATGTCAGGGCTGCTTTGGGGTAGATTTAGGGTTAGGGTCCTCCCGAATCTGTAGAAACTCACCTTTCTGGTGCAGCAGGAACTGGTAGAGCTGGCCAATCCCTTCCAGGCTGGAGTGCTGAGTGGCCCTGTCTGGGTCCTGGCACAGAATTCCCAGCATGCCCGTCAGTTGTCCCATTGGTCTGAAGTCCTCCTTTGGCTGTGTTAAGAGTGTGGGACTAGTGATGGCAGGATGCACCCCCAAAGTCCCTGCTCAACCATGCACACGCCCCAGCACACCTATGTCGGAAGGGATCCTCTCAAATTATATAACCGTGCTGGGACTAGGTAGTGGATAAAACAGGGGCTGCCACAGAAGTCAGTAAGCAAGTGAAATGTTGTTAATGCAACATTAATAAAAATGAATGCAAAAAATAATTTCCCTCCATGATAAAGGGTCAAAATCATTAGACAGGATCCAACTTTGTACCTGCTGGCCTGGTTCCAATAAAACTTTATTTAATTAAAACAAGGGGCTAGCCTATTAGCCATTCATCATTTAAAAATATGATTAATTTTGACTATGGAATATTTTGGTGCTCTCGTAAATTTTCACCCAAGGGGAGTATTTCCCTTGCCTTACCCCAGTCCCAGTCCTTGGTGCAGATATGGATTGTGAGTAAATTGAAGCCACTTTGATCCATTCTAGAGGGCTTTTTCCCTGGGAGAAGTGACTTTCTGAGGGTAGAGCAGTCCCCTCCCCCTCTAGCACTTGCACCCCCTACCTTCCTTAGCCCAGGTAGCCTCAGGTATCAGATGAGGCACTGATGCCCACCTTCTCCCAGAATTTAGTGCTGATTTTGGCTGATAACACAGAAACACTCACTTTCAGAAAAACCATCTCAAGTTCATCAACCCCAGGGCATGATGGAGGTGATTCTCACCTGCCCTTCTAAAGAGAAGTTATTGTTTTTCCTTCTATAGGTGAGATGCTGAGACTGGGGGAGGGGAAGCGCCTACTCCAGGCCTCAAGTATAGGGAACAGAGCCCTAGCTTCAGAGCCCTGGTTCCTCAAGTGTAAAGAGAGACATCACCTGGGCTGCTCACTACCATGGAGCCCTGGTGGGACAGGAGGCCCAGTTCCAGTGGTCTGCAGGCTGGGTAGGGTACTTACATCCAGGCAACATCGATGATTCAGGAATCTGAGCAGGATCATGCAACAGTGTGCAGCGCGCTGCCGCTCATGCACCTTCTCCGATGCCAGCCAGGGATACAGGTGCTGGGGGTGGCGGGCGGGGGACTGGACCAGGTAGCTGGTCAGCCCCGCCCACCGTCCGTCAGGCCCTGCCCAGAGGAAGGCCCTGCCCACCTCCTCCACTGGGATCACGGGTCTCCACTCTCTCCCTGTCCAGCCTTCACTGTCCTTTCCCCACACTGTGCATCCCCACACCTTCTGTCCTGAGAAGATCCCCACAGGGAGTGATCATTTCTTCCTGCTCAGAGCCCTCCAAGGCTCCTGGTTCCTGGCCTGCCCTGAACCCTGGCTAGAACCATGCTTCCCCATATGTGTGGCACACACAGGCCTCTGTACAGACACGCTGTGTGGTTGGAGATCGCACTTAAGCCTCTCCATTAAAGGCTCAGTGTTTAGTGTTGGTGATTTGAAGAGGATGAGGACACATGGTATTTGGAGACTGAGTGATGTAGTGATTGCTTGCTAGCAGCTGGGACTTCCACTGGTGACTGCCACTTGTCACATTTAGGGGATGGCATGGTGCCTTGCTCCCCAGGCTACACACAATGGCTCTTAACTTCCATTTATGCATCCAAGTTGAGGGCCCTGGTTTCCCTCCTATTCTGCTTCCCCCTCTACTTTTTCTCTCTTTCTCTCCCTCCTCTCCCCTTCCCTCACCTTTTTCTTCCCCTCCTCCTCTCAGCCTTCCTCCTCTCTTTTTCCATTTCCTTTTCCTCCCTCTTCCCCTTCCCCTTCTTCTGTATTAGAGCCTGAACCCAAGACCTCCTGTGTGCTAGGTAAACACTATACTCCCATCCCTTTAACATTTTTATTTTGAATGGGGTCTCATTAAGTTACCCAAGGTGACCTCCAATTTTCAATTGCTCTGCCTCCGCCTCTGGAGTAGCTGGGATCACAGGTACATGCTATCACATCTGGCTTCAGCCTGGCTTCTTGGTAAGTAGGCAGGTCTGCTGACCTGACCCTCATTTTAACCTCCTCATCCCTGCCTGGCCATCCACCTCCCTCCACCATGGCCAAGTGAGTGCACTTATTTTACCCGTGTGATGCTATTTGCCTTGGGGCTCTGCCCTGCCCAGGGATGCCCAGGGACTGCCTAGGTCCTCATCCAGGGCTCCTTGGTGAAGCGCCACTGGCCTTGGCTTCTGACCCTGTGGACAGAGCCAGCATTCTCTCTGGGCTCGTGGACAGGGGAGAGTGGAAGCCTTGGGCTCTGAGGCCTTGGGGACATTGCTGCAGGGGTTCTCTTGGAGGAGCAAGAAACAAACCACTGTGATCAAACCACTGTGATCCATAATTGTCCTGGGCAGGCCCTGTGTCCTCTGGGATGCCTTCTTTGGGCTCTGGCCAAGGGTGAGAAGCCTTTGTCCCCAGCCCTGGGGTGCCCCACCAGTGCTTACCAACAGCAGGTATTGTACTTCACTGGTTGTGGGGCTCTGCAGAATGAAGCTCTGCAGCATGTGGTCCAATGCCTCCAGAGTCTGGTTGTACAGAGCCTGTGGGGGAGTAGGGGTGTGGTGTCAGCCAAGCCTGGGGGCAAGGGATGGGGGCCACAGCACACAGGTGCTGCTCACTCCCAGCACACTGCAGGTCAGGCTCCTGCCATGACGGTTCACACTGGCTCAGAAGGGGACCTGCCACAGACCAGGAGATGGGGAAGGGGGCCGTCCATGACCACCCAACAGATTTTTGGTGACCAGGAGAACTTATCCTTAGCGGGCTGGCCTCCTTGGTGGGTGACCTGTAATAGCTGTGATGGTCTGCCACTGCTGTCTTGAAGTTTTAGATAGGCCCTGGCTTTCACTGTGCATTGGGCCTATCAAATCATGCAGCTGGCGCTGGTTTCTGGGGCTCGTACCAGGTTCCCAATAACTTAACTGCATTGTTTGCTGAGCATATTCATATTGGGAAAGGTCACAGAAATTGTCCCCACCATAGGGGCACCAGGAGCCATGAACCTCTGGATACTAGCTGGCTGGGTGCCTTGGAAAGCTAGTCACTTCCTTTGTGAAGATGGCAGGAAGCAGCCCCATGTGCCAGATGGGATAGGGTTGAACATGAGCCCAGCCCAGCACCCCCAGCTCCAATGCCAATCCCCAGTGGTAGCCCACCAGTCAAGGCTGGCAGGGTGGTCAGTGCAGGGTTATGGAATCTCCTTGTCGTGGGATCTCTGATGCCCATGGGTTTGGCCTTGAGCAGATGGGTCTCTTCTGGAGAGTTGTGGCTGTGACGTTCCTAGAGCCCAGGGACCCTGCTCTGTCACTATCTTATCCAGAGGGCTTGAGGTGAGATTTAGTCTGGACTCGTCTTATGAGTAGAGCACTGTCCTAGGGCATTGGGGTGGGATTCAAACTCTGAGTCTCCCACCAGTCAGCCTCATTCCTCTAAGTGGGCTTCCTCCCTCTCTGGCCGCTGCCCGGAAGTGTTCACTGAGACTCTCCTTAACCACCTCCCCTTCATAGAGGACACTCAGTACTGACTGTGCCCGTGGGGCACATGTGCCCCCTTGTGGTGGCAATGTGCAAGGACAGGTATCAGGAGCCAAGGCAGGAGCAAAAGGGAGCAGAGAGCCTTCCTCCGGCCTGGCGAGGCAGCAGGGTGAGGTGGGTGAGGCCTGAGAGGGGTGTGAGCAGTCAGGAGCCGTGTGGTGAGACAGCCTCACTGTTGGAAAGGCGACATCTTTTCAGATGTCCAGCTCTTAGCGGTGACTTGGGACTTGGATCAAGTCTTGGATCCCTGCAAGACTGGGGACCTCACCCTTTCCTCTGTGTATTTTTCTTGGCCTGCTGGGGCACTCAGAGGAAAATGTAAACCTGACCCTGCCACAAACCCCACCAGTTCAAGGCCAGCAGGGTGGCTGGGCTGTGGTGGCCCTGCTCAGGATCGGCAGGGAGGTCACTCACAGCCCTGTTTACAGAGCGCTCTGCACCAGGAATGAGCCCCAGCCTCTCATTTCAGCCCTCTGGCTCAGGACCACAGTTCTATTACCCTTCCCATTTCTCAGGTGGAAAAATGGAGGCCCAGCACAATTAGAAACTGCTTAGGGCCCCAGCCCTGGCTGTGTGGTGGCCAGGGACCCTTCATGCAGGCTGTCTCCCCTGCAGTTGTTAGCAAAAGATGGAGCCCAATGCCCTGCCCCTGAAGGCCCTGGGCACTGCATGCTGAGTAGGACTTCACCTGTATATTGGGTGGTTCCAGAAAAAGGCAGGTATGTCTCTCCAGAGTGTCCATCAGGGGCAAGGCAAACACGCTGCGGAAGCAAGTGGACAGGAGCCGTGACTTCCTGTCTTTGTCTATCGGTGGCCTCAGCTCACTGTTGGGAAGAGAGGACAGGAGCCTGAGGACGGGTAATGGAAGGTGCTGTCAGCAAGCCTGAAGTAGCTGGGATGCAGGGCATCCCCTGGCATCTGCTGCCAACACTGCAGACTTTAGAGGTTTCTGCCTCTTAAAGAGACACGTGTACACATATACCTCATTGGTCCCCTTGCCACAGGGCCTTTGCATGTGATATTTAGCTAAGTACATGCAGGGTTTACTCTCTTGCCCTTCTGGGACTTTGTTCAAAAGTCCTCTTTTGGGGCAAGCTATCTCAGTTTCTAGCTGTGTCGTGGAGCCTAGTAGGGTATGAGATTCATGGGGGTATTCAATTAATAGTCAATAGTCCACCACTTCCATTGACCTGAGCTTGGGTCTTCTGTGGTCCTCAGCTCCTGAGGGTTCTGCATCCCCACCAGTCTCACCCCCCTACTGCTGGTTCCTCTAGTGTCTTCATCAGCCCTGATATGTGTGGTCTGTACCCTAAGAGTCAGTTTTCAGGGCACATGCCTGTTCTCTGTTGGCTTGCGGCAGGGGGCCTGAAACACAGTAGGTGCTCAGTAGCTGTGTGTACAATGGATGAATTAGTAAATGAGGCTGGGAGAGGTTAAGCTTTGGGGGGGATTGACCCAATCTTTGGGTGGGTGCTTGTCCTGGTCTGCTTGCCATCTTGCTCAGGCCCACAGGGCTGCCCACTCCCTGCAGGCAAGTTCAGGCGACTTTGAACTCACTGGACCTTCACTTCCTCCTCACCTGATCTCCCCTCACTCTCTGGGGGCAGAGGACTGATTTGGGGTCTGCTCCTTGACTCAGGGGTCCCTGAGCTCCTGGACTCTGACCTTCCTCCCTTTCCCTGGGGTTGGATGGGGTCTAGAGTCAGCTTCCCTTTGTAGGTCCCCCCCGCCCCCAGATCCTGCCTGTGTGCTAATGTCTTGCTGTCAATGGTTCCTCTCACCCCAAGCATCTGGAGTACCAGGTCACCTTGGGGAGGGGCTGTGCCCACATCAAATGTTTGCGCCTTCCTAGGCCTCCCACCCCAAACCCATTCCACTTGTGCTGGTTCAGGCTCCAAGTCCTGGGCCAACTAGGCCTTGACCTTTTTTTGGTGCTGGAAATTGAATTCGGGGTTTCGTGCACGCAAACCCTCCACCACTGAGTTGCATCTCTAACTCTGTTTTATTCTGACATAGTGTCTAAGTTACTAAGTTGCCCAGGCGGAGCTTGGACTTACTGTCCTCCTGCATCAGTGTCCCAGCCTTGCTGAGATTACAGACTTATATCATTGTGCCCTGCTCTTCCCCTTACCCCAGGAAAACTGGCAGACAGCCCTGCAATGGGCTGGACCCCTACCAGAGCTTGGACGCGATGTGGATGGCCTGCTGGCGGTTGGTGGTGCACAGTACACCTGGGGACTCTTTTTCCATTAGAACCTGCAAATCCACCATGAAGGTTGAGCCACTCAGGTCTGGCCCATCCCACTCTGATGCTGCATCTCTGCTCCATCTCAAGACCTCAGTGTCCAGAAGCCTTGGGACCCACAGACCCCTCTGTGATCTGGACCCAGCTTAGAGACTCAGAGCACAGCCTCTGCAGTCAGACATGGCAGACCCGAGTTCCCATTCTGCCTGCCAGTTGTATGACGTGGGCAAATCTCCATATTGCTCTGAGCTCATTAGAGCACAAGTAGGTGGCCTTGTATGTGTGTTCCATGTAAAGTAAGGTGTGGAGTCTCAGAGTTGGAGCTCCAGTGGGGAGGGGACAGGCTGTCCTATTAGTGTTCCCATTACCTCTGCCCAGTCCCTCCTGTGTGACTCCACTGCCTGGAGATGCCATGAAGGTTGAATCCTTAACCTGGTCTGGGGTCCAGGTCAACATGTGCAGGGCAGACAGTTCTGGCCTTTCTGGGCCTCTGTGGTATTGCCTGTGAGGGTGGACTGGCCAAGCAGGGGCCCCTTAAGTGCCAAGTGGCCAGGAACATGGGGTGTTTCCACGTACAAAGGCTTGTGAGGGAGGAGGACATACTCTGGAACCCACCGCACACCTTCTGCAACTCCAACATATGCTTGTATGAGGGAGGAGACCCTTCCTGCCCAGGAAGGTGCTGTTTTGAGAGGAAGGTCAAGCACTCACTATCAGACACTCGAGGAGTTGGGAGGTCTGGGAGAACTCGTAGCTGTGGGCACCCTCTCTTCGGCTGATAGCCTTCACCAGCATCATGACGGCTAAGAGGAAACTCTGCTTGAGGTTCTCATCCTGAACAAAGGGACAAAGGGGACGGGCAAGCTGAGAAGTCAAGAATGCAAGGGAGAGGGCAAGAGTCCAGGTGAAAATAGTGAGGCCACAGGTTGCAGGGCAGTGGCTGAAAATCACAGTAGAGACTGCCAAGTGGATTAAGTGTGAATGAGGTGACAATGTTCAAACACTCAGGACATGTCAGTGAAAGTCTCAGTGAGCCCACAGTTAGGTAGCAATTGGTGCTGCCCCTCACTGCTTCTCAAGTTGGAGGCATGGGTGCAGAGTCCCACAGATGTCACTCTGCCCTCTTAGTGCCCAGTTCCACCCAAAAGTCAAAGTCTGGGGTTTGTTTTGTGCAGTGGAGATGGATCCTCATGAAAGCCCGAGCATGTCTGGGAGAGCATGGAGGAAGAAGGGAGAATCAAACAGGAAGCCAGGCCTGGGGGAGGGCAGGAGGTGAGCAGCCTGCCTTGAGGTCTAAATCTCTCTGCCTGTACCATTCTTGGGTGGTGATAGTGGTTCTGGTCTGGAGATCTAATTCTCTCCTGAAGAGTGTGAGTTTGGGAATGGTAGCTTGCCATACCCAGGAGCTGTATCGGAAATAGAAGATCATCCTAGACAAGATGTTGTCCACCCATGGAAGAATATGGGCCTTGGCCCTGGCTGCCATCTGACCGTAGGCAAGGAGGATGGTGCTGCTTGCCCATTTCCACTGCAGGTCCTCGAAGCTCTGGTCCTGGGGAGTGGCCAGATAGGGGATGTCAGGCCCTGCTGGAGCCTTCCTTAGGGGGAGTGGGGAAGGAGGTACCCCCGGCCCTACCAGGATGCTAAAGACAGAGCATCCCAGGGGAGCCTAAGGTTACCTTGGGAAAACAAAAGATAGCATCGGCTCTTTGAGGGGTTGAAGTGGACTTGGGGGAGCCCACAGGGCTATGTACAGAGGATTGACTCTTCTGGAACTGGAAGATTGCAGATCTACTGCCGTGACAGTTCCTGCCAGAAGCCTACCATGCTGCATCTGGTGCTTTGTATCCCATTGGGTTGCTGGGGGTCTGGAAGCCTTTGTGCTTCTATCCAGAGAGACAGCAATATGGCATGTGATGCTTCCCCAATGGCTGAGACTCAGGGAATAGTGGACAGATGTACCTAAGGACCACCATGGCACTACTCCCTCGGTAAAGGTACCCTCTGTAGGCATTGGGACATGGGTTTGACTCAGACTCAGCAGACTGCAGACCTCAGCAGTCACTGGCTTATAATGTACCAGGCTTTCAATGGCCATGGCCCATTTCTGCCCCCAACAGGCCAGGTAGGGGACTCCTTCTTAGAAGAAGTAAACTGAAGCATTGGGTCTCACACTGTAGGTGGAGGCACAGGTGGGACTGGAATCAGAATCAAAGGCTCCAAGCCCATGCTCTTGACCCTAAACCTGGGATCCTAGTCTGGCAGCTCTGGTACCTTTGAGATGGGGCTTTGGAGAGTCCACTTGACTGGCCGGCTCCGGCCAAACTGGTCCAGTACCGCCCAGACGTCATCCAAATGATGGGCTGCAGCCAACCCCACAGTGAGCGCGATTCCCTGTTGGAGATGGCCCAGTGCCACTGAGGAGGGGACCCTGAAACTACAGTACTGGACTTGGCCTCTCACTTGGTCCGTCAGAAGGGGTAGGGTTCTCATCCAATATGACAGGGCATCTATCTCCCATCCACATGCTTTTTAGGACATGTGGCCTAGCCCAATGGGGTATCTCTGATGGGCAGAATGAGGAGAGGCAGGAGGCGGAGTCCTGGAGGCAGGTTGTCATTGTACCAACTCTGAACAGACTTGTACCAGGGTAGGATTGAAGGGTTGTAGGGGAGTGGAGGAAAAGGACCCAGGTTGTGAAGGAGACTGGGGATTAATCTAGAACTAGGTCAGGGCTCAGGTTGTGACCAGGATCAGGCTAAGCCTGTCGTCAGTGCCAGGAAGCTGTGGGGTCAAGGGGGGGGGGATCCTCACCTCCCTCTGCTCGGGCCACTGATGGGATGTTTCCAGGAGGGCTTGCAGGTGTGTCCTGACTGTGGTACTGTCGTCTGCTGCTTGCAGGATCAGTCCATAGTAGGTGAACAGGAAAGTCTAGTGATGAGGTCAGTGTCTTGTCCTTATCCTGACCCACATGGACTGGCCCACCACTTCTTCCGAGAAGCCTCCCTGATCATGGTCCCTCAGCCTTCTGGGCCTTATAGTCACCCTCCCCACCCTGCCTGGTGGGACAGCAGTGTGTGTTTAGAGTCTGCTGTCCAGGCCAGGCTTCTGTTCCTGTCAGACCCACCAATCTCTCTCTAGGGCTCTGGGCATTCTGTGAATAGAGCCCTGAGCCTGAATGTTGATAAGAGGCTGCCTGGGGTAGCAAGACCCACCTTCTCTGGGCATTGGTCCTGCTGAGTCTGGCTGGGTCTGGTGAGGGCCTCCAGCAACTCCTTGGACCATGTGTTCAGGAAATTGACTGACTTGACAGTTATCTGTTAGCAGATGAGGGTGGATAGGCCTGGAGCCTCTCTCCCTCCATCCTCTGTCAGGCTGCTAACAGACACTCCAGGCCCAACTCTGTCATTCTCTTTCCCTCTCTTCTGGTTCCCTAGAATCAGCTCTCTTACTTGTTTGATGTCTCTAAGGGACAAGGAACACACTCCTCAAGGGACCCCAGATATGTTCAGGTGAGGTAGGGAAATCAGGGGCCTGGGGGGTTACAGAAAGGAATCCTGGCCGTGTCCCTAGCACAGAACAGGTCTCAGATATGGCAGATGCTGGGTTGACTGAAGGTCGTAGCCCCTTTGCAGAGTGGATGCTAGGAGGCAGGACTTGATCAGTTTTGTTTGCCCTTGTTGTTCCAGCACTGCATGATGCTCAGCACATGGTGGATGCTGTATTAGTGCTTCTTAATCAATGAAGACAGATCAGATGGATGAATGGAATATGTTTTCAAAAAACAGGATTCTGAAATTTCTGATCCTAACATCACATGATTTTGTAATGACTACAAGGTCTTTATATTTCCAATGTTTCTTGATTCTGTATTTCAGTAAGTGTTAGGTTTTTGTTCCCAAGAGGGTGGTATGGGAGATTCCTCTGGTGTTATGATCCTAAATCTCAAAATCTTAAAATACTGATAAATATGATGATAAATATTTAAAGATGTTTGCTGAGAAAAACTGGTATGAAACAAAATTTGAAAAAAAGGGCAGTTTTTTCCTGTAACTTATTGCCAAGGTGATTTTCCTTTCCCCACTGAATTGCTTTAATACCTTTAAATATCATTATAGTGTGTAAGTGTGATTGCATCCTGGACTTTCTGGTCTGTTCCATTGGTTGTTTAACCTATCCTGTATGCTATGGTTTAGACAAAGAATGTTCCTCCAAAGCCTCATGCACTTAGAGGTGGGATATATGGAAGTTGATTGAATCATGGTGGTGATGATACTGCTGGCTCACTTGTTGTGGGTCTGGTTGGAAGAGGGCGATTATCGGGGGTAGACCTTCGAAGATGAATCTCCCTTTCCATCTCCTTGCTTCTCTTTATGCTTCCTTCCTGACATGGTCTGAGCAGCTTTCTTCCACCAGACCCTTCAACTTTGGCCTTCCTGCCTTGGAACCATGTGACTATGGATTGAAACGATGGACCAGTATAAACCTCTTTACCTTTAATTTGTGGGCATTGGGTATTGCATCTCAGTGATTAGGAAAGTAACTAAGATACTATGCCAGTGTTTCATCTTCCTGTTTACTCTACCTTACAGTCAACAATCTTTGACTGATCTGGGCTGTCCAGTGATTACCTAGCTGCCCACATTCTGCTTGGAGCGAAAGAAAGTGCATGCAGTGCTCCCCAGCCCATGGGGAAACTTTGGTGCTTTGATAGGAGCCTGGTACGACCCTGTCCTGTCTCCCACAGTGCCAGAGGATGTATCAGGAGGTCCCACCTGGTTTATCTAGGTCCTACCCAGCAACTCCCAAGCTGACCACAGCCTGCCTTTGGCCTGGCAAGCTGAAAGTGTGCACAGTGCCCTCCAGCCCACCAGGAAGCTTTGGCGCTTCGCTCCTGGACTGGTAAGGCCCTGCCCAGCATACCCAAGTGGATGAAGCCAGCTGATAAGATCTGTCTAAGGACCTCACTCAACTGGGGAAACTCTCTGCAGAGTAGGAATAGATATTCTCAACCCAAAAAACAACTGAGATTTTGCATTTGGCTTCCCTAAGGGAATATAGGACAATGACAAAACAAAAGAGCAAAATGCAATCTCAAACCTCTAGCCCATCCCAAGCAAGCCTAGGAGACATGGACATAGAACAAAAGAGATAAAGAAGGTCACTACACACTAGTTAGGGGAAAAATTCCAGAGGAAGAGATAACACTCTTAAATATATATGCACCAAATTTGGGAGCACCCAGATATACAAAACAAATATTAATAGAAATGAAAAATCAAATAAGCAATAACACAATTATAATGGAAGATCTTAACAACCCATTGACACAAAGAGACAGATCAATTAGACAGAAAATCAGCAAAGAAATAACAGAAATGAATCACACCTGTGAACAAATGATCTTGATGGACGTATACAGAATGTCCCACTCAAAAACATCAGAATATACATTCTTCTCAGCAGCACATAAGACATTCTCTAAAATAAGCCATATACTAGCCTGTCTTAGTTACTTTCACTCGTTGCTGAGACAAAATACCTGAAGCCCAAAGTTGGGAAAGGGAAGGTTTATTTCTTACAGTTTTTGGAGGTTTCAGTCCACACTCAGTTGGCTCCAAGGCAGGCAGGCATGGCTGGACTTCATAGCGGCTGCCAACAGCAAGCAGAAACCAGCAAAGAGGAAGACACACCTTCTTCCTGCCATTACATCACATCCTGGCTCCACCCATATGTAGGTGGAGCACTGACACCATCAATCCAAGCACTAGACAATGAACCAATCACAAATGCACAATGAAAACTCATGAGACCTGGGGGTCACAGACATAAACCATGATATAGCCCACAGAACATTCTTAAGTAAATGCAAAAGGATTGAAATCATCCCACTCATGTTATCAGATCATAGCACCATGAAACTAGAAATCAACGACAGAAGGAACTGTAAAAACCCCACAAACATGTGGAACTTGAATAATATACTCCTGAGCAATCAGTGGATCACAGAGGAAATTAAAGAAGAAATTAAACAATATCTACAAGCAAATGAAAATGAATTTTGAAAAAATCTTAATGAATTGTCTCTCAGACAAAGGATTTCTGTCTAGAACATATAAAGAATTAAAAAAAGTCAGACCCCTGATACTCAAAGATCCAATCCAAAAATGGGCATCTGAGATGAATACACAGTTCTCAGATAAAGAAATACAAATGACAAATAAATACATGAAAAAATGTTCAGCATCATTGGTCATTAGAGGAATGCAAATTAAAACCACACTGAGATTTCATCTCACTCCAGAAAGAATGGCCAAGGTAAAGAAAACTACCAGCAACAAATGCTGGAGAGGCTGTGGGGGAAACAAGAACTCTTTTGCACTGTTGGTGGGAGTATAGACTGGTGCAACCACTGTGGAGATCAGTCTGGAGGTTCCTCAAAAAGCTGGGATTGGAAGTCCCATTTGTTCCAGCAATTCCACTTCTAGGCATATTCCTAGAAGAACTGAAACCATCATATCACAGTGATATATGTACACCCATGTTTATATCAGCACAATTTGTAGTAGCCAGATCTTGGAAACAACCTAAGTGTCTATCACCTGAGGAATGGATAAAAAAGATGTGGTTCTTTTATACAATAGCTGAGTACTACTCAGCTATAAAGCATGATCACATTGAGATATTTATAAGTGGATGCAACTTGAGAGCATACTCATAAGTGGAATAAATCAAACTCCCATGAGTAAATACCATATTGTTTTCATAGTGTAAGAAATGATAAGAGTACATAAGATACAAAATCCTCAATAAATACAGTGAAAGGGTAAGAATCTTCTCAAAGGGGGGGGGATAATATCTCTCAGAAAAGCAGGAAAAAGGAAGGGAAAATAAAAAATATCTTAATTTGTATAAACACACTTAGGATAGCTAAGATGATTGTGCTACAAACTGTATAAATTCATAGAACAAAGCAGTTAATATTCATAGGATTGGAACAGTTTTGCATGTTTGTGTTAGGTGACCTGAGGAACTCTTGAAGATCATTATGTAAAGTATCAGCTTTAGTTCTATTCCTATCACTGTGTTTTAAAGGCTTGTATCATTATTGTTTTGGGCTCTTTACTATTGTTATTTGTCTTTTTTGTTTCTTATTTTTCTAGTAATGTGTTTTGTTTTTTGTCTAATGCAGAAAGGATAGGTATACATGTAAAGGCTTATAAATACCTAGAACTTCTCCTAAATAGTTTATGAGAATTGATTCTATTATGTGTGATGAAATGAACAGCTATTTTGAAGAAAAACATACATTATGTATCCATTGCTGATTTTGTATCATCATGCTGTGAAATTCAATAATGCTTCTATTCTTTGTTCAAAGTGATTTTAGTCTGTTTTGTATTGTTTAATTTCAACATTACATGAAGGTATTAACAGCTGTTTTGAAGAGAAGAAGAGACATTATGGCAGCCATTGTTGATTTCCCTATTGTCTAGTTTTGAAGGCCTGTAATCCCTTCATAACCCTGTTCTGATCAGTTTTTCACTATTTTGTTTTGTATTAATCCATTGTGTGTGAAGATATAGATAAGCATTTAGGAGAAAACAAGACATTATTGTAGCCACTACAGATTTCCTGCTGTCTTGTTTTGAAATCTGTGTCACTTACATTGTTTTCTTCTGATCTGCTTGGTTCTGTTTTGTTATGCTTAGTTTTACCCTTTTTTTAAAAAAAAATAAAATTAAATTAAAAACCCAATCTTACTGTATTATTTTATTTAGTCTTTTACTAAGTTTTGAAATCAAAGCAATGGGGTTCTTGTAACTGTTTCTTTTCAAGATTTTTTTTTACTATTCTAAGTTTGTTAAACTTTTCATAAAATTGAATCTATAGCATAAATTCTGCAATAAAATCTTTTAGGATTTTGATTGGTGCTGTATCATTTGTAAGTCAATTTTTTGAGAGTTACCATCTTAACAGTTTTAATTTTTCTTGCGTAAGAACTTTTATATCCATATACCTCTTTGTAATACTTTGTCAAGACTTGGTATATATTTTGTGATATTTATCTTTCTTTGAGTCTTTTATATCTTTCATGATACTGGGTCATTAAAAAAGCGATTTTTCAATAGTTTGTTACTTGTAAACAGATATTTAATTGATTCATTTTAATATTTATCCTGTGTCTTGAGATCTTGCTAAATTTGACTACTGGTGATTATCAGTTCTAGTATTTTTTTGGGGGGGGGATACTAGGGATCGAAATCACAGTTTTGCATTTGCCAACCAGATGCTTATGCCACTGAGCTAAATCCTCAGCCCTGGTATTTTTAAGACTGCAATATTGATGTCTTCAAAATAGCTACAGATAACTTTGGACACAGTAAAAATCAAACAGAACAGAATAGAATAGAAATGATAAAAACAAAACAACAAATGCAAAAAAGGGCTTCAAAATAAGCTAATAGAGAATCCAAATTGCTACCATAATATATCTTGCTATCTTTGAAATAGCTGGTCCTGTCATTGGATTTGACATAATCAAACAAAATAAAAGAGAATAAAACCCATCCCAATAAAACAGTGGAAATGATATAGAACTTCCAAACAAGACCATAGGGAATCAACAATGGCTGCAACCCTAGAAGGAGATCCCTTCTAGATGTCACACTGCGTGCCACTATCCTCTGAACCCATGATCAGGCCACTGGCCCTAGACCTGCAATGTTAGTGAAATACCACAAGCATCTAATTGCATTTCACCTCCATAGCTATCATCACAGCCTGTGTTTCTCTGGATTAGCTGGTGGCTTACCTGCCTAAAGATTTTTTAATGGCCCTCTATTCCTATCTGAAATTGGTATTTTGAGGTTTTTTTTGATCAATGAGAGGTTTATCAACTTACTCTTGGCTTGAGTTATTCTTTATTAGCTGTTCCTTTTTAAAAATTCTTTGATTTCTGATTTAGTTTTTGCTATTTCCTTCTTTCTGCTTACTTTGGGCTAAATTTGCTATTTTAGGTAGCTTATTTAAATGAAAGTTTAAATAATTGATTTTATACTCTCCTTCTTCTCTAATGTGGGCATTAATACAAATTTCATTCTTTTTTTTGTGCCAGGGATTGAACTCATGACCTTGCAGTTGCCAGGCAGATGCTTATGCCACTGAGCTACATCCTCAGCCCTTTGTGTTTCATTCTAAGTATTGCTTTTGGTTGTATCTTACCAATATTTGCTTGTATTGTTCACTACATTCAGTTTGGAATATTTCATAGTTTCCTTTGTGAGTTCTTCTTTGATGTAAGAGTTATTTAGCAGTGCATTGTTTAAATTCTAGGAATTTGTAGATTTTCCAGATAGATTTTAATATTGAGTTCTAATTTATGTTTTTATCAGAGAATGTACTCTGATTTTAGTCCTTTTAAATTTACTGAAACTTGAGACTTTGTGGCCTGGCCGGGCCCTGTCCTGTCTGCATGGAAAGGATGTTAGTGTGATTAACTGTGCTGCTCCGTGCCTTCCCTTCCCCAAGGGCTTCCTTTGTCCCTCTGTAAAGATCCCTTTTGGGGATTTGTGCCTACTGTCCTTATGACTATTCAAGCAAAAGACATTTAACCCCATTTGACAGGTGAGGCAATGAAGGCACAGAGAGGGTAAGGAGGTCACCCCAGGCACATACTGTGGTTGGCTGACCCAGAATGTGAACCCAGGTCTGTCCGGGCCCTGTGATCCTCCTCTCAGAAGTATCAACCTCTCATCCCTATGTGTGTCAGAAATGGGACTCTTGTTTCTTGGTTGTGGCATTCTCAGTCCACCCCAACACGCCTCCTTCCGTCTCTGGTCTCAGCTCTGGCCCTGAACCCTTTCTCTCTCTCCCAAGATGGGTGGGAGGGGTGGTGTGTGTTGGCCACCTGCTCTGTGCCAGGCAACTACAGACCAAGGTCCAAATTCCAACTCCTGCTGTGACCAGGTTGCCTCATCCCGGATGCTGCTGTTTCATCTGGAAAGTGGAGGTCCCCTCTGCCACCCTGCACCCTTCCTCCCTTCCCTCTTTTTCCTTTCTTCCCTCCACCTTTGGGTTGCAGCAGGTGCCCCCGTGATGGCTGTTGCCCTTCCGCTGGTGTCCCTACCTGGGCCAGCAGTTCTTCCCAGTGCGCCTTGTCTTCCTTGCTGAGTAGTTCCTCTGCAAGAGGGGGATGGGCTATAGGACCTCTATTGATACCCACGGCCAGGGGAGAACCCCACACCCCTTCTCTCTGTCTCTCAGACAATGAATGAGTCAGGGTGACACTGTCCTACCTCATTCTGGCCTGGTTTGCAGGACAACATAGGCTCAGGACCCAGACAGCTGGGCTGGAATGATGGCCCTGCCCCCTTGCTGAGTGAGCTCAGACAAGCTATTTCTTCTCTGTGCCTTGGGGTCCTCCCAGGCAAGTATGAGGAGTGGAGGCACAAAAGGGGTGCTTGAGAGTCCAAAAAATTTTTAGGAATTTTGGGACTCCTACTTAGAGGGAGGGGCTGCTTTGGGGGTCCCCAAGGTACAGAGGACCTCCTGCCCAGGCTGTCAATTCCTGGGTAGGGGTGCAAGGCCAAGCCAAGCCAGGTTCTGCTGGTCTCAGGCCTTAGAGTGCAGCCTTTCCCAGCCTCCTCCTGCTGACCCTGCTGGCTATCCACCCACTCTTCAGAGGCCCTTTCCAAGTAGCCCTACTCCCACTGCTCCAGACTGGCTCATCTCAGAATCCCTCTCCAATGACCTCTAGCTGGTCACTGCCCTCTCTGGGCTCTGTCCTGGTACTGAGAGCAGGTGCATTAGTCAGGTTGGTGGCAGCACAGTGGACTCCCTGGCGAGAGGTGGCAGCCTGTTACTACCCACACTGTGACATCACTGCTGTGGACTCTGGTGCTCTGTGGGCCTAGTATCTCCCCTTGACTTCCCCTCCTGTGCTGTGGACAGGACCTACCATGGGAGGACAGGACGCCCATCACATAGAAGAGGCTGCGGTGTGGGAAGATGCCAGTCAAGAGCTCAGTCTCCAGGTGCTGGGCCACTGCCTGCCACGAGTGCTTGCAGATGGCCACCAGAACATTGCTGGCTGCATCCTGGTATGTGTCTTCCAGCTCCTGGGGTGGGGGCAGGGGTCCAAAAATCAGAGCAGGCTTTTGTAGTGCTGAGGGTCTGCACAGATGTGTGCCTGCTTTGTCAGGCAGGCAGCTGTGATAAAACCATTTATTTGGATGGAAGACAGAGGCCGAGGAACCCTGTACCCATAACTCTCCACATTCTTTGCTCTCTAGTAGTTTCAGGACATGCTGAAACTGTCTGACCCATGTCCTCTCGGTAGCCAGGGGGACATTCCCACTTATTATTTTCCATATCTATAGTCTTAAAGGCACAGTTCCTTATGGATCCTTTCCACATTAAAGCCTTGGGCATGCTGTGCCCCTGCCGAGCAGCTCCATCTATCCCTGCTTGCCTGTCTATTCAGATTGTGGGCCATTTCTAAGGCCCACTGTCTCCTATCCTTGAGACACCTGTCTGAAAGTCCCCACCTGATATCACCTCTCCCCTTTCTGGCTCCTGGAAGCTCAGGACAACAAAATCATCCTTTAATTCTTTGTCACCATGCATTTAAGAACAGAGGCTCTTCTTGCTCTAGGGCTGCCTGCCTGTGGAGTGAGCATGTCAGCTGATGTAAGATAAAGCCTGCTGATAGTTTCCTGGGACTTGCTGGGTCCTGTGAGGTACCCTGTCTCCCAAGGGTCATGCTCTGTCAGGAAGGGACCACTTGCGCCTGGACTGGCCCTATGCCATGGTGATCACACTTTCTCAGCAAGTGCACTGGTATTTTGCTCTGGCTTTGTGTAAAGTACTACTCCTTTCCATCTTGTGGTGGATGCTGGTGCAGAGAGGCACAGCAGGGTTGCCTGCATTCTGTGACATCTGAATGTGTAGGTATCTAAGGTCCCTCTACTCTACTCTCCCTGTGATGTACTTTGAATCACTGTATAAGTTGATATTTCATTTACAACTTATTGAAAATATGGCTATAATGGCTTCTTAAGAATGAGGGTGTCTTGCACAGGCCTTTGGACTCTGAACTAGCCATTTGACATGTTACTCTGAACAACCTCTCCTAAATCTGCTGTACACAGAGCAGATGAAACATCAACATTGTTTATATCTTGGCAGGTATGCAAATAGTCTGTCACAATTATAATTCACCAACCATGGACTGTGTCCTCTCAGTGACCCAGGGGTCATTTCCACTTATTACTTCTCATAGCTGTAGTCTTAGAGGCACAGTCCCTTGTGGCTCCTCTATTTGTTCCCAACTTGCAGGCTCCTCATGGCCCTACATGGCATCCTGTGTTGCTCATTTCTGGGTGACAGGTTGGTACTAAAAATATTATTTCATGGCATTAGCCTTCCATGTCACCCACACAACACAGAGGGTGAAATAGGCCTTGCCACACTTGTGTGGTGCCAAGACTTGGGTTGTGGAGGCTCGAGGAGACCGTCACTACTCTCTGGCCATCCTGTGTGTACTGAGTAGTCCACCATGGGGCTTCCAGGGCTAGTGGGTCTAAATGAAACAACCTGCCTCTGGTTCCCAGGGGCAGTCACAGAGATTGCTGGCCAGCCTGTGGAGAGTGAGCAACCTGACTATTGTCCTGGTTGAGGTTAGGGCTCAGTGTGTGTGGGGCAGTTCATGGCCAAGATGGGGAGCCAAAGGCTGGATTATGGTCTGGGGAATGGACTAAACTGGCAGGCAGCTTTCTAGAGCTGGCCTATAGGTAACAACAAAAGGATGGTAAGGACAGTGATGGGCAGGGACCCCTGGGCCCACCTCAAGGACAGCCTCCTGTGGGAGGAAAAGCTGCAGGCGGAATTGTGTCTCTACTTAGAGGCCCTATGGCCTTAGACTAAGACTGCCTCTTGGGTTTCAGCTGCTGTTTCTGGAGAGTGCCTGAAAGTGTCCCTCTGAAGGAGCATGTGGCCAGGATGTTAGGAAGAGAGAAAACGCCTGCCAGCACACAAGGCTAGCACACCTTCACCATTTGGAGTCCTGGGCAGCTGCCTGCAAACCCAAGGGCCTAGGGACTGGCTGACTTGAGGGGGTGAGGTGGGGGCCCACCGTGCATTTGACCATGTTATCCAGGGCCAGCTGCATGAAGTTTTTCCTCCATGTCTCCTCCAGGCAGTCACTGGCTTTGATGACATTCTCCAGGACCTGGAACAGCCTAAACTTGTGCCGGCTGGAGATCTGTGGGTGGCAGAATGGACACTAGAGTGGTTGGGTCTGACACGCCGCACATGTCTGTGGAGCATGGGTGGGAGGTGTGTGAAGAGGTCACAGGGAAAAAATCACAGGAAGCTGCTTTTGACCACTCACTCAATAATCCTTAGTAAATATTGCTCTATGCAGATATTAAACCAGAGCTGCAGGGATCGCAATGAACAAAAATTTCTATCTTTAGGGAATTGCTCTAGCAGTTTAAAACATTCCACCTTCAAAGTCAGATAATTCATTCATTTCACTTTTTAATACTTAGGCAAATGTTCTCCCCACCAAACCCACCTCTAAATCCATCCATCCATCCATCCATCCATCCATCCATCCATCCACCTATCCACCCATCCATTTCTGCCACTTACTGGCTCTGTGACACTTGGCAAATCCTTTCCTTCCCATAAGCCTCAGTTTCCCCATCTATGAGATCATATCTACCTCTTGTGCTTTTTCTGAGTGTGGTCAGCATATGCTGGTCTGCTTTTCTCCCTTCCTCTCTGGCTCACTTGGAATATAGGAGATTGAGACTTGCTCCAAATCATGCAGCTGCTCTACATAGAATCCAGGATTTGAGCCCAGCTTGGAGTCAGTCCCTCCCATTTATTCCCCAAAGACCCCATCAGCTTCCACCTGTGGGTTGTCTGTGAAGTAGTCATGGATGGTTTCCATCACCAAGTTGGGGGACTTATGAACCATATTCCTGAGCCTCTTGATGACGAACTGAAGGTAGGGAAGTTCTGAGCTGCTTATGTCCTGGAGCATCTTCAAGCAGATGGCTAAAGGTAGCAAGAAGGCATGAAGGTGAGTGGGCTATGGGGGACATCACATTGTAGCTGAACTGTTGGATGGGCAGGAAAAGGTAGATCTGGGAGTGGCAAGGAGTAAGCTGAAATGAGGAGTGGAAAATTAGACACATTGGGATGTCCTGGACCTGCTCACTGTCTCAATGGCTCTGACTAGGTTCAAGATAGGGTAAAAAGCAGGTATATGTACAAGTCTACATGTCATTATTTTTCCAATCATATTTCCATCCATTCATTGAACCACTTACTTTTTCATCCACCTATTTATCCATTATCCATCTATCTATCTGTCTCTCTTCTCACACATTAATCCATACATTGTGGTCTATTGACCTGTCTGTCCACCTATTTGTCCACTTATGCATTCATCTGCACATTCATTCACTTAGGCCAATGGTGGTGAACCTATAGTACTTGTGTTGTGGCAGCTGATTGTATCATTGAAAACTGTAAAAGGTTCACCATCACTGACCTAGGCTCTCATAAATCCATCCACCAACCCATTCATAAATTTGCCCATCTGTCTGTGCTTCCACTAATCCTTCCACTCTGCATCCTGTCACCCAGCACCCCTTGGTGTTTGAGTGAAGGGGAAGGCATTTCAAGGAGGGGTCAGGCCTTAACCGAGGTTTTGAGATATGTAAGGAGAGCGGAAGGGGATGGGAGGTGGATATACTGTGGGCTATGGATGGTTTCAGGAGGTGTGAACAATCCTAGGGGGGTTCTGAAGGATCTCTGCTGAAAGCTTCAAATGTTCATCACATTCCTTGCCATATCAAGGTCTCTCACTGTTGGGTCTTTTTCTTTTGGAGGGGTCTGGTAGGATCTAGATCCCTTGCCTTTTCATGGCTGAGTTCTAGGGATAGTGATCACCTGAGTCGTAGGCATTCTCCATGAACATCTTGTGGTCAAACACTAGTCCACTCTGGCTGCTCATGGACTTGTGGGGCAGGATACTGGAGGAGTGGGTCTGTTGGTGTCTGCAGGTAGAGTCCCGAAGGGCTTTCATGTGCACTGTGTCCAACATGGATCTGGAGACAGAAGAGGGGATCATGAAGTGGAGAAGAGTCCTGGTATGAGAGTCTGAGGGTGCTTGAATGTATTCAAGGTGCCAGTGTAGAGGATGCTAGTGGTGGTCAGGCTTACAGTGTTCTTCCCTGGGTCTACTTGTAACTCTCTCTGATAGCCTGGAAGAAGGGCAGATGATGAGGTCTCAGGACACTGTTGAGTAGACAGCCTGCTCTGAGGTGATTATTTTGTATCAGTGGAGAGAACCGAATTAGTAGGAAGATTCCTGCAACTACTATTGTGCTGTAATGAGGAAATGCTGATATTGAGGTTGGCTCTTCTATTGCTGAAGGTAGTTATGGGTGGAGACCAAATTGGGCTGATTTTCCAGCTGTCAATAGTAATAATCCCATAAATGGTAGAAAAGTAATCTTATCTTGTATCATGAGCAGTTGTTGCAATTCTCATGAATTTAAATGTAGAATAAGCCATGAAATAAATATTTAAATCCAATAGCCTACTAGTGCATCTTCCTGGGTGCCCTGCAGAAGCACTGTAGATGTACAGTGGAGGAGCCAGACTCTTTGGGACCACACAGAGGATTGCTCTGATTGTGTAGGGTTCATGGCAGAGATCTTGGAGGTTGGGAGAGCTTTAAGAGCATGTGAAACCCATTCAAGCTGGTGTAACTTCTCCTTTGTTCCTCCCATTGTGCAAACACATACTGACAGTTGCCACAAAGACAAAACATCCTTGCTTTTGGGGAAGCTGCACATTCTGTCCCTGACTCTCTGTGGGGTCCCATGGCTTCTTCTTATTTACCCTCAGTTCTCATTTCTGGCACCTGCTTCAAATGAAGCCCATCCTAGGCTTTCCCAAGGGCATATCTCAGAGCAGCAACAGTCAGCGAACTGAACAGGTAAATTACAAGGCATTTTAGACTGCAGCTCATTTCCTCAGATTTTGTTCTGTCAATTCTTTCACCACAGAAGCAAGTCAGGCCAAGTTAGACTCTGCCCAGGGTCCCCCTCTGTGTAAAGGGAAATCTAAAGTCCTGAGGATGACAGGAAAGACAGATGCTTGCAGCTATGTGGTGCAGTCAGATCTGGGTTCACCTTCTGCCTCAGGCAAATTGAAAATTGGAAAAATACACAAAAGCACAGCTATCAGACATCACACAGTGTGGCACAGAATTGAGTCACTGAGAGATGGGAAACCAACAAGGCCAGCCTGACTATCACAGCCAGCTGCCAGGACAGTTTCCAGTTTCTGGTGCAGGATGAAGGGAACAAGATGACCTCATCAATCTGAGGTAATGGAGGTGGCAGTTTGGGGAGACCAACATGGCTAGGGTGTGCAGTGAGAAGCCAGAGGAGGAATCTACACAAGGGAGAGAAGGGTCTGGAGATTGGTAGAACAGGTCAGTCTTCATCTGCACTCAGTGAAAGAACTGCCCAAAAGGACTAGAGAGAATGATTCTCAGAACCTGGAAGAGCTCCATTTCCACTAGTCTCAGTACACAGGGAATTAGGCAGTATACTTTGAATAGTGTTAGCTCAGTGTGCAGAGAATCAGACAAAAACAAAGATCCACTGATCCTATGTAACAATGGTCTAAAAGGAACCCTCAAAAAGACCACACTCTTTTTAATAATTCACATCCCAGAACAAAGCTTAAGCATATTTGAAAGGTACAGGAATACCCAGTACCCAACAAAGTAAAAATTTACAGTATCTGGCATCCAATCAAAATTTATCAGGCACACAAAGAAGCAAGAGAACATGATGCATAATGAAGAGAAAAATTAGTTGATCAAAACCAACCCAGATCTGGGAAGATGGTGGAGTGATGAGCAGCAGCAAATCAGCCTGAAAGGGAGACCAACACTGGAGTATAGCAACATGGAGATGAGAAGAAAGAGGGAACTGGATATCCCAGACCCAGGAAATTTCTTGGAGGAAGATGGGACTCCATGGAGAGAATGAGGTGATAGACCTCAAGGCAGAAAGAGGAGGTGGCAAACTGCTTTCTCCCCTCAATTCATTTGCACAATGTGCATTCTCTTGAAGACCTGGCTTGTAGCACAAGAGCAAAAGCTCAAGCCTACAGAGGTATAGGATGGTGGGGGACCCCAGGGGCCTCCAGGGAGAAATGTATCTGTGGAGCAGATCTGTGGATGCGGTGGGTTGCAGTGGCTGGTGAGTGACTCCATTTCTGAATGTCCCTAGGAGAGGGTTATTTGACTGGATACCATTTTGAGGTGAGGTCAGCTGAAACTGAGACTTGGAGCAGCTGTGGGTTGGGTCTATCTTGGGGCTGTCGGTATCTGGGTGAAGCATAGCTCTGGGAGATACCCAGGAGTAGGGAGCTGAGATCAAGTCAGCAAGACACATCCATACTGTTGTAGGCTGAGTAATTTGGATCACAGCTCCCACAGCCTGAGACCAGGATCAGCCCGAACTTCTGTGGAGTTGAATCAGCACCTCACTTTATTCCTACTGCAGGTTTGCTGAGATCATACAACACAGACCTGGGCTCTGTTTGCCTCTTTTGTCTACCACTGACAGCAGAGACACCCTAAAGTGGATACTACCACAAAACTATAGACTCCAGAAGATAACCACAGGCTTGAAATCACAGAGAAATCTCTCTCTACCTTTTTGTTTGTTTTAAATTTTTTTGATTGAATATTTTTGTTTTTTCTTGAGTGTGAACATTGTTTTTAGATTTTTGTTTTGTTTCTTTCTTGCTTTTCTTTCTTCCTTCATTTCCCTCTTGTCTTCTTCACCAGTCTCCTAAAGCTTAGATAATTTTTTATCCTTCAGCCTTGCTTCTAATCTTTTTCTTTTCCTCTATTTCTCTATGTTTTCCTCATATTCCTTTTAAATTTCTCTATAGAGAGTAAAATCACTCAATTGTGGGTGTATTCACTGTATATAAATTTGATTTGTTTTAGATTTTGTGATATAACTATAAATCCTGTTCATATGGTTAAAGATGGCAAATTAATAATTACCACAGTTTACCATGTTATAGGCCGGGATATAGCCTATTGTTATAACTGATTGGCCTAATTTAGCCAAAGTGACATGATTGTTCTGATGTTATTTTTCCTTGTATGCCAAGACAAAGATTGTATAAAGGTCATAAACAATACTATAATATTTCTGTTCAGTACCAAGAACCAGGGGTAGGGCCAAATAGATAGCAACTTCTCATTCCTAATAAATGGAAGAGGTAGGCTCTTGTGGCAGACTCAAAATCCAAAATCTAGCTACTTCTAGAAGACATCTCTGGAAAGCAGTCATTTCCTAAGGCATTCCTGATACTAGCAATCTACCATAAACAATTTGCAAACATCAATGCAGAAATTTAAAAAAAAATTTATCAAATGATAAAACAAGCAAGATGCAACCCTAGATCTCCAGCTTGCCCAATGCAAACCCAGAAGGCAGTGTAGTGGAAGAAAATCACAATCCACCCCCCCCCCCGAAACTCTCTGTAATGGTAACAGAAGAAGTGACAAATCAGATGAGTGAAGCTCTAGAAAAAAAACTAATCAGAAATAATTTCTCAGATAAATAAAGGGATTATGAGAAGAACATTGTTAGTGAACCTAGAGTAGATACAGATAAACAGAGAAGCTTAGGAAAATCATGAAGATAATCAATGTCCAACATAGCAAAAAAATGAGAATCCATGAAACAAGTTCATATAGATATCCAGGAGATTAAAAATTCTATTGAAAGGATATGCAGCAGAACCAGTCAATGTGAAGACAGAATATCAGATCTAGAAGCAGTTAGCCATCTTGAAAAGAAAGATTTCATAAAAATGGCAAAGGACCATGAGAAATAAATCCAACAACTGATAGATGATGCAAAGAAGAATAACACAAGATTGATTGGAACCAATGAAAAAATCAGGAGTTGAGCAAAGGACATAAAAATATGTTCACAGAAGTAATGGAAGAAAACTTCCCAAGCATGGAAAAATAATTTGACATCAGATAAGTGAGGCATACAGAACTCCAGTTAGCCATTATCAAAAAATTCTACACCAAGACATAAAATAGTAAAGGTTCCAAAAATTGAACACATGAGCACACTATTAAAAGCTGTTAAGAGAAAAGAAAAAAAGTATGTATAAAGGAATACAGACTTCTCAGTAAAAACTCCTAATTCAGGGAGAGTATGGAGTAAAGTATTTGAAGTCCTAAAAGAAAACAACCTCCAGCCCAGACTGATGTATCCTGTAAAAGTATCTTTCACAATTCATGGGGAAATAAGATACTTTCATGATAAAGAACAGTTGAAGAAATTAATGACCACCAAGCCAGCACTCCAAAATGTTCTGAAGGATATTCTAGAAAGAGATAACTAAGACTACAATTCTATAAACCCCAATAGAGTGAACCCACCAACCAAGCCAATCACTAGTTGATAGTGATACTCCACTATCAACTAGACAAAAATTCAATGAAGAAATATCAGAACTGAAACAAACCTTTAAACAAATGGACTTAGTAGCTATCTACAAAGTTCCACCCACATCATCAGAATGCACATTCTTTTCAGCTGCAGATGAGAATTTCCCCAAAATATACCATATGCTTAAATAAACGCAAAGGAATTGAAATAATCCCATGTGTATTATCAGACCATAGTGTAATGAAATTGGAAATCAATGTAAAAGAAACTACAGGTACTGCATAAACACATGAAGATTAAATAATACTCTCCCAAATAACCAATGGGTCACAGATGAAATTAAAGAAGACATTAGACAGTTTCTATGATTAAATGATATGCCAATCTGACATACTGGAATTTATGGAATACAATGACAGTCTTTCTACAAGGGAAATTCATAGCAGTTACTTACTATATCAGAAAACAGAATGATCTCAAACAAATAACCTAATGTTGAGTTCCAAACTATTATAAAAAGAACAAGTTTAACCCAAAGCATGTAGGAGGCAGACAATTATAAAAATCAAAGCAGAAATTAATGCAATCAAGAC